CACAAGGCTGAGTAAGAGGTGCTTGAGTGAAAGAAGGGGAGGGGGCATCAATGCCTGGGGAAAGTGTCACTAAGAGGGGACTGGCAGGTGGCATGGTGGTTAAGGGCCTTGTACTTCCACATGGCCAACTGCAGTGTGAATCCTGCACCTGGTAACTTGATTTCTCACTTTCCCTCTCTCTCTCTCTCTCTCTCTCTCTCACTTTGTCCCTCTCTTGTCAAATTAAAATATATAAATAAATGAATAAACAAAATAATTTGTAAAAAACAAAAAAGTCACTAATAAGGGACTGGCAAGTGGCGTGGTGGTTAAAGGCCCTGGACTCCCACATGGCTGACCATGGTTTGAGTCCTGGTCCTGGTGGCTTGCGCGCTCTCTCTCTCTCAGTGTCTCTCTCTCTCTGGTTAAAATTGAAAAATAATGATAATAAATAAATATATTTTTAAAAAGTCACGAAGAAGTCACATGAGAGAAGGTGCTGGAAAGCATTCACTGGAGCTGGAAATCTAGAAGGCACAGGAACAAGAGATGGGGCAGGATCCCTGCAGGCCATAGGCTGAAGAGCAAATGAGAAGAGGGGAGCAAGCGCACAGAGAAGTTCTGGCAACTAGTGGGCAGAGAGCGCAGTCTGAGAGCAGAGGTTCTGGGAGAGGCCCAGGGACTCCAGGCAAGCACAGTCTGGGGAAGAACCAGGCAGAGCAGACTGACAGAGAAGTGGGGGAGGCTGAGGGACAGGCCTGGCTTCAACAACATGAGGGATACTACTATCTTTGGGCCAGGAGAGATGAAAACAAGAAAGGCAGATCAGCGAGGCAAAGGAAATGTGGAGATTTTCATGGAGGTTTGGGGTTTCTTCTTTTTTTTTGAGAGAGAGAGACTTTTTGGGGTGGGGAGGACTGTAGGGCACATATGCTTGTCAGAAACACAGAAAGAGGTAGAAAGCGAGAAATCACCCCCTAGGGGAGATGGCCACACTACAATCCCTTCTCCCATTTGCCTCTTGGGATTTGGGGTACACAGGCACATGCGCCAGCATGAGGTTTTTGTTTTTGTTTTCATTTTCTTGAGATTTTTGCTATAGGGCTCGTGCACTCACCAGAGAGAGAGACAGAGGGACAGAAAGCAATAAATGCCTCCAAAGGGAGGATGGCCACACCATAATCCTTTCTCTTCCACTCTCCTCTTAGGACCTTGGGCACGCACACACTCTCTGAGCATGAGTTTAAGCCGCCAGGCTCAAGACTCGAACCACAATAGACAACATGTGACCAGAAACATAACCATTATGTCATCTGCTGGTTTCTGGGGGGTTTGTTTTTAACAAAAACTGAGCCTTTGGATGGATAGAAGGGGTTGGAGGGCAGAGGATGTTCCAAGGAAAATGGGTTTTTGCAGGAGAGTCAAGGCAGGGAGATTCGGAAGAAGCCCGTGGAGAGGAAGGAAGTCCAGGGCAGGGACTGTGACAGACAGGGCTCCCTGCAATGTGACTGCCCAAGAGATCCAGGGCAAGACAGGCAGCAGCTCCTGCCCACCCTGCCCACACTGGACCTGCTGGCCGGGAGATACTCCAGTTGTGAGGCCATTGCTTACCAGGGGCACCAAGAAAGGGCTCAACAACGCAGCAGTGCTGGCAGCATGGTTGGTGTTGTCAGGCCCGATCACTGCTATGACAGTGGGGGAGTAGTGGAGAAAGTTTCCTTGGATCTCTATGTGGTGCGTGTCCAGCCGAGAGAGCACGCTCAGTGTGGCATATACGCTGGCCGACTCTGAGCACACGTCATAAAGTTCGTACCCCAGGGTGACGTTGGGCAGCAGGGCTGTGGAGTTGTTTATCTCCTCGATGCTGAGCCGCATGGCCTGGAAGAGGTGGTAGCCGTGGCCATTGAAGCTGCCAGGCCTGCAGAAAGGACAAGCTGAGAACCAAGAAGGATGGGCTCTCCCGCCCCAACCCTGAAATCCTTTGGCATCTAGAATCCAAAGGAACTTTTGGGGAACAACAGGTGGCATAATGGTTGTGTCCCTGGACTCCCACATACTTGATTGCGGTTCAAATCCTAGACCTAGTAGCTTAAAACTCATGCGGGGAAAGCGGGTGGGAGTGTGGGGAGCAGCAGGTGGTGTGGTGGTTAAGGGTGGTGGACTCCCACATGACTGACCATGGTTTGAGTCTCGGACCTGGAGGCTTGCTTTCTCGCTTTCCTTCTCTCTCTCTTACTCTCTGGTCAAATGAAAAGTAATAAATAAATAAAAGTTAAATAAAATAATATTTTTTAAAGTATTTTTTTGAGAGGAGAGAAATTTTTGCTATAGAGTGCATGCGCTCACCAGAAAGATGGAGAATAAGAGACAGAAAGCAAGAAATCACCCCCCAGGGGGGATGGCCACGCCACAATCCTGTCTCCATTCTCCTCTTGGGATCTTGGGCATGCATGCACATGCGCCTGGTGTGAGTTTAAACCACCAGGTCTGGGACTCGACCTGCAGTCGACATGGGAGTCCAGCGACGTAGCCATTATGCCATATGTTGGTCCCATTTAAGGTCATTTTTTAAAGAATTATTTATTTAATGTTATTAATTTGTTCATTCATTTTAATTTGACCAGAGAGAGAAAGTGAGAAAGCAAGCCACCAGGTCTGGGACTTGAACTGTGATCAGCCATGTGGGAGTGTCCAGCGCCTTAACCACCACGCCACCTGCTGGCCTCAATAAAATAATGATTTTTTTTTTGAGAGCTTTCTGGTATAGGGTGCGTGTGCTGGGTGCGTGTGCTCACCAGAAAGACAGAAAGAGACAGAGAGTCAGAAAGAGAGAAAGCACCCCCCAAGCAGCATGGCCATGATGCAGTCTCTTCTCCTCCACTCTCCTCTTTTCGGCATCTTGAGCACACACACACATGCCCGGCATGAGTTTAAGCCACCGGGTCTGGGACTCAAACCGCGGTTGACTACATGGGAGTCCAGTGACATAGCCATTACGCCATCTGCTGGTCCCCAAGTAATTCTTTTTTTTTTTTTTTTTTTTTGAGAGATTTTCACTGTAGGGCGCGTGCGCTCGCCAGACAGACAGAGAGAGACATAGAGACAGAAAGCGAGAAATCACCCCCCAGGGGGGATGGTCACGCCGCAATCCCTTCTCCTCCATTCTCCTCTCGGGATCTTGGGCACACACGCACACGCGCCCGGCGTGAGCTTTAAGCCACCGGGTCCGGGACACGAACCGCGGTCGACTACGTGGGAGTCCAGCGACATAGCCATTACGCTAACTGCTGGTTCCCCCAAAGTAATTCTTAAAAAACAAAAAATTCATGCCAGGCATGCATGTGTGTGCCCAAGATCCAGAGAAGAGAATGGAGAAGGGATCACAGCGGGACCATCCCTGGGTGGGAGGGGGTGTGATTTCTTGTTTTCTGTCTCTGTCTCTCCAGCAAGCGCATGTGCCCAATAGCAAAAATCTCTTTAAAACAAACAAACAAACAAACAAAACAAAACAAAAAAAGAAACAAAAGAACCTTTGAAGCCTTCCGTCCTGTCCCTACAACCATGACCTCAACATGGCCTCTGAGCACACACACACAGTTCCAATAGGTGTTCACAGGCTCTAAGACAGGTGGAGAACAATTGGAGCAGTGCCACACCTGGAATAGCATCCTCATTGCAAAAGGTTCACCAAGTCCTGTAGCAGAGAAACCCAGCTATATCAGTCAGGGTTCTCCAGAGAAACAATCAGGGCACCACCCTGTGGCATGGTGGTAAAGGCTGCTGGATCTCACATGGCCAACTGTGCAGTTCAAATCCCAGACACTACGGCCTACAAACCACGCTGGGTACATATGCGCACATGCCCAAAATCCTGAGAAGACTGCCATTTCCCCCCCACCCCCGCCCTTCTCTCTGGCAAGCACACATGCCCTGTAACAAAACAAAAAAGAAAAAAAAAAAAGGAAAGGAAAAACAATAGGATGTATATATAGTGAGAGAAATTTATTTTATGGAATTAGCTCACATAATTGTGGGGCTAGCAAGTATGAAATTTGCAGGTGAAGCCAGCAGGTTGCACATGCTGTGAAGAGTCAATGTTGGGGGGAACCAGCAGTTGGGGTAATGGCTATGTTACTGGATTCCCGTGTAGTCGACTGTGGTTTGAGTCTCGGACCTTGTGGCTTAAACTCATGCTGGGTGTGTGTGCAGGTGGGGATTGCAGTGTGGCCATCCCCCCTGGGGGGTGATTTGTTTCCTGTCTCTCTGTCTCTGTCTTTCTGGCGAGCACATGAGCCCTATAGCAAAAACCTTCCCCCCTCAAAAAAAGAGTTGATGTTGGAGTCTTGAGCCTGAAGGCAGAATTTCCTTCTTTTCTGGGGACCTCAGTCTTTTTAATTATGGCCATCAACTGATTGAACGAGGCCCACCCACTATGTAGAAGATTATTTGCTTCACTCAGATTATTGACTGAAATATTAACCAAAATTTAAAAATACCTCCCCTGCAACATCTAGAGTGGTGTCCAACCAAACAACTCCTGGCACCATGACCTGCCTAGCCAAAGCTACAGGTGAGATAAAACAGCATACTTGCTTAACCTTGTTCTGTCTGGGATACTTATGAATGTGTTGAGGGCCTATGTGCCTCATCCCTAATTTAAGAACTGCTGTCTGGAACCCAAGAGGGATATGGTCAGTTCTGCTTGAATTCTAACCTCGTCCATTTTCCAGCCTCTCTACCTGTGAGAAGGTTCTTCCATAGTTCCTATTACTTCTGTCCCAAGTCACTCAGAGGAGGCTTGGTGCCTCCTGCCTGCAAAATCCTTTAGCTATCTGAAGCCTAGAAACTGCCAGAGCTGTCTGCGAAATGTCTAGCCAGAGCTAGCAGACTGATGGGGAAGGGCTGGGGCAGTTTGAGTGTTGTAGCCCAGCGGCAGCACTGGGAAGGTCCTAGCTGAGGAGGGCAGGCAGAGCGGCCCTGCAGTTACAGGTCCCCTCACTTACCTGTCACAGAAGGTCACCTCTGGCCTGAGTCTCACCTGCAGATACTCAGAGTGGAGAGGGAACAGGCCTGCAAGGAGGTAATCCCCAGAGAGGTGGAATTCAGGAGAGGACTCCATGTGGCCGCAGCTGAAAGCCCAGCAGCAGGGCAGGGAGAGCTGCAGTCCCACCAGGAGAACTGCTGGGAGTGACATGCTGCCCACATGCCTGGCATGGCTGAGCAGCACCCTTTGAGGAGGCCAAGCCACTTAAATAGAACAGAGTGCAGCTGCCCGGATGCCTCACAACTTCATGCCCCTGAACGGGGTGGCCCAGCAACCCAGTTGTAGAAACCCAGCTGTTTCCCTTGGCCTTCCGGGCCTGTGGTCTCACTCAGGAACTGGGGAGGGCCAAGGCCAAATGCAAACCAGGTGGCACCCAGTGACCCTCCTCTAGATGGTTGTGGGTTCTGTCCTTGCTGTGGTGTCTGTGGCTTCACCTGGCTCACAAAGGGAGCACTGGCGTTTCTTGGGGGGTTGGGTAGGGGAGGCAGGGACACAACTTCTCTGGGAGCTGGTGAGTGGCAGCGTGGAGGACTGCTATCAGGGAGCTGTGGATTGTAACCCTTTTACCTAGGCCTCAGTTTAGCGAATGAGACAAGGTTTTGGGTTGACACCTCCACAACAACCCCCAGTCCCCAGTTTTCTGACACTGACATTCTGAGCAGAGGAATCACCAGTTTCCCCTTGTTACCATCAGGTTTGCTCCATTCATCCCAAAGACAAATGCATGCAAACCAAAGTTATGCAAATAGACCGGTTTTGTTTAAAATGCCAATCCTGGAGTTTTTTCTAAAGGAAAAAAAATCCCAGGTGGATTTCCGGAATGGGGAGGCTTCAAGGAGTTTCTCTCTCCCCCTGAACCCAGCGGGGATGAGACTTTTGCATAATGTAAATAAGTGCTCTTGGGACCTTGGAGCCCCGCCCCAGGCGGGTAGTCCGGGCGGGGCCCACGGAGCGTCCTGGTGCACTTCCGAGGGGCGCTGGCAGAGGGCGCCGACGCACCCAGGCCGCTCCTTCCGGCGACTCGCTGGGCTGTGGGGCGGAGCGACGCGATGTCGCGAGATTCTCGCGGCCGGACTGTGGGCGCAGCATGGCGGACTCTGTACTGCTGCCCAGGCGGGGTCCGTGGCGCTCCACTTGGCTGCGGGCCCGCAAAGCGCGGTCTCAGCTCATCCTCAGCCGCCGGCCCCGCCGCAGGCTCCGGACCCTACGC